AACATTTTGTTACGAGAATTACTCTAATTCAACCTTGTATAAATTACCTTGTTTTTTGGTAATAAATATTAGAGTATTGTCACAATTTTTTATCATATATCGGACCCTTTAATATTAGTAGTCAAGATGATTCTTTTTTAGGATGCTACTACACGAAACATAATTAACATGTGCATAACTTAATTATAAGGTTTATTTGTAGTAATTTTAAATCTCGTCTTCTCTTAAAGTTTTCTTAACATTGTTATTGGAAAATAAAGATTTGATCCTAGATTTTTGTCCCTGGTTTTTTTAGATGTGACTTTTCTCAAAGTTTCATTATTAATCAATTATCATATACTAATTAAATATGGTTTACAAAGGAATACTATTTTATATGAGTTGTGTTTGTTGAAAGTCTTATTAAATTTCTATTTCGTGTATCTTGAGGATTCATAGGAGTTCAGCTAATGTTACATGTTCAAGATTCTTAATGTATAAAGAGTTTTAGATACTTGTTTGAACTCTCATAAAACACAATTACAATTTTCTTCAATGCAATAAATTAATGAGAGTAATTTATTCAAGATTCTTGTTCAATGGATAAACAAAGAAAGGTTTCTAAGAAATTAATTGAAATAAGCATTTATGTTTTGATGGTCCCTTTAAATTTGAGAAATTGAAAGTACAAATGATGCACACGAGTTTATTTAGCTTTCATTCATTTCAAGGGTAATAAGTTAATTAAAAATATTAATTTTACATGTTATATATTTCTTTAGAGATTTGAATTTATTTTTGTTTGAGTTTTATATTGAATGTTCAAATTATTTCCAACTATATAAATAATCTTGATTCATCTATTACAACTTCATTTACTTTTAACTTAGTTTTTTTTAATTGGATGTTCAAATTAGTTTCAATCTTTTAAGTAATTTTAGTTTGTTCCTTACAACTTAAATTTTTATATATTTAGTTTACTTGTTTTTGTTTTACAAATATAAAATAGCTTAGAAACAAATATAAATTAGAAAAGAAAATTCAAAGAGGGAAAGGTACAAATTGAAGAGAAAGAAATAAGAGAAGAAGAAGAAAAAAAGGAAAAAAAAGAAAGAGAAAATGTAGCAACTCAGCATTGGGATATGCAACAATTAATCTCACTTACAACATGAATTAAGCAATGATGTTAAGTTTTTAAAAGTTGAGTTAACGGTTGTAATGACATAATGTTAAAGTTAAAGTTTCATGAAAATAATATTAATTGCTCATTATTTGCATTCAATTGATTTAATTGTGAAGTGATTAGGAAATTGATTTTTTTTGTTTTGTATAGATTGATATTTTAACATGGAAAAAAATCTTCAAGTACATTAATATAAGATATTAATCTTTAATATAATTTAAATTTCAATATAGACTAAATTTTTAACTTAAATACTATTTTGGTCTCTCTATTTTATTCAATGTGGAACTCATTTTTTTAGATGTTTGATGTGATTATTATTTTTATAAATTGTGTTTAATATAATTTTTTTATAATAATATCTAAACTGTTTTTTAAAGATGAACGGTATGTTTGTTCGTGATTTTCTCTATTTTTTTAATTTTAATTTTTTTTCTTAATTTAAAAAAAGTTATTCACATGTTAAGTTAATATTGTACGACATGACAATATCAGTGACATATGTCAAGTCAGTGTTAGTGTCACGTGTCAAATCAGTATTAGTATGTCAATACCTATTTTTTACATATAAAAAAAAACCAAATATAAATGTAATAATTATATTCTAATATAGTTAGAGTAGGTTTAAAATAATGAAAGAAATATTTAATAAAAAATAAATTTGATCTCAATTTAGAAATGGAATTAATTAGGACTGAGTTGAACAAAATTAACAAAAAAATTTCATTAATTTGAATGGGTTTAAAATAATGAAAGAAATATTTAGTAAAATGTTAATTTTTTTAAAAGGCATAATACCCAATTTTGTCCCCACTTTGGTTCGGAAATCTCAAGTTAATCCCTTTATAGAAAAGTGAGTTGAATGGATCCTTACTTGTAATTAATTGACTCTAATGAGTCCCTTCCGTTAAATAGAAGGAAACGGAGTTAGTGGACTGATGATGTGGCAGTTGTCTTTGGTGAGGTGTCAATACGCAATTGTTTGCGTGCTTACGTGGTTCAGACAATTCTTTGTTGATACTGTCACCATCTTCGTTATCTTCTTCCTGCTCATGGATTTGTTTGATCTTATCATGGAGTGATTCTCGAGGTGATTGTGCTTGTTTCTTGACAGGGTTTTCTTGTTGCAGCTGAGTTGAAGATGTGCAGAGAAGCCGTGTCACTGAGTTGGAAACTATGCCAGTCAGCTGCTCGGATCTGGTGTGGTGAAGAGCAGTGTTGGCTATACTGGTCAGTGAGCGAGGGAAAGAGCTGGCCATTGTTGCTTGCTAATGATGTTAGGCAGATGATAAGAGACAAGAAACTTGTACCAGAAGGAAAAGAAAAAACACTGAAAATAGAGCAAACAGGAATTATTAATGTTAGTGCGACACATACATTCAAGACTGAAATTATGGCAGACTATCCCACCCCTAATATAAGGGAAGAATATTATCTCGTTATTCATAACATTTCAGCACAATTTATATCCAAAAAAAAAGTATTAATCATATTTCTTGGATTTCATTGGTCAACGGGGTAACACAGATCAACAATGTTCCCAAACACCTATTCACGAACATCTGCAATGTTCATTCTTATGAATTTCAAGAACAGAAGATCATAGCTAAACATTTTGCCTCTTAAACATTCCCTTCACTTCCTCATGGCCTGCTTTATTATCAAGTAGCATATATAGGAACCTCTCAAACAATTTCCACATATATGGAAACATGCTTTGCAGATTCCTTTCTTTCCCCTGGACTAGACCAAAACCCTAGCGCACCCCAAAGGTACGTCATTTCCGGCATTACCAGCCATTGTCGTGGCATTTAAAAATGGTTCTTGAAGTAATCGATGGTTCAGAAAAAAAATGAATGAGTAAAAAGAGAGGGGAAAATGTTCGGTGGTGATGCTGGAGATGAAAGAACCCTTCTTAGAAGAGGGAAAGAAAAAAAGGGAGTGGTGGCGTCGGTGGAGAAGCAAGCTCCGGCGAGGGCAGCGGTGAATCTGGGCCGCGAGCGGAGAGAGAAGAAGCGTCACAGCCATCTGGGTCCTGGTGACGTGCGGCGGCGTGGGATCCGTCCGCGGTGGCTGAATCGAGGCGCGGCAAGGATGGATTCGGAGCAGATCTGGGGCGTACGTGAAAAGCGAGGTCCTCCCTCGCACGCGAGAAGGAGGGGCTGGAGCGGCGTCCGACGATGGCCATCCGTGGGTGTCGGAGATGGAATCGATGCCGGTTGGAATGAGGTGGCCATTTTTGGTTGGGAGGCCAGCGAACTGCAGGGAGAAGAAAGAGACTCTGGGTCTCATCCCGTTGGAATGGAGCAGAGAGAAGAGGAGAACCTGAAGCTTTCTGAACCACGTAAGCACGCAAACAATTGCGTATTGACACCTCACCAAAGACAACTGCCACATCACCAGTCCACTAACTCCGTTTCCTTCTATTTAACGGAAGGGACTCGTTAGAGTCAATGAATTACAAGTAAGGATCCATTCAACTCATTTTTCTATAAAGGGACTAACTTGAGATTTCCGAACCAAAGTGGGGACAAAATTGGGTATTATGTCTTTTTAAAAATTAAATTTGGTTTCAATTTAGAAATGAACAAAATTAGAATTGAATTGAACAAAATTAACAAAAAATTGGAATTAATTTAAACAAAATTATTGAAAATTTAGGACTTGATTGAATATAAGACATTGTCACGTGACAGTAACACTAACATGTGGCACTAACACAAGACACTAACATTGACTTGACATATAACACTGACACTAACACGTGACATTGATATTGTCATGAGATACACTTGTGACACTGATATTGTCATGAGATACAATATTGTCTTGATGTGTGTGTTGTAAATAATCCGAAACTTATGAATAAAAAATATGGATTGACGAAAATTCTCTGAAGATTTTAAGTAAAACTTACTATTATATTTATAGAACAACAGATAATTTTGAATGTGTATAAGATTTATTTAAAAAAGCTAAAATTAAATTTTAATATTTTAAAATACCAAAAAGTATTTTATCTTTTATATAGTTTCTCACTCTCCCACTATATTTTCATTTCTTTCTTCCATCTAAACAAACTATAATGGATGCATGCGATCAAGTTTAACATTCAAACTCTTACCGATGAAACAACAAAATAATTGAACTGTATATTTTACACTTTTAAAAAAGAAATTATTATATTCTATTGCCCAGACAATTTCATTTACCTGAACTTTCAAGTGCTATATTTTTACGTGAAGTCTTTCAATATCAATTAGTACAACTGATAAATATAAATTAAGTATACACTAATTTGTTTGTAACCCATTAATTCCTCAAAACTATGAGCCTATTATACTTTTATATATAAAAATACCTATATTAAAAAGTAACCAGTTAAAAAAAATATGCGTTTATTTCAGTTTTTAAAATAATAAAAATTGGAAACAGTTTTAAATTAATATGACTAAGAAGCTATTTTTAATATTTTTTATAAAGTTAAGCCACTTCTTTCAAACCAAATAAGGTACTTTTTACTTGTAAAAAATAATCACTACATTATTTTTCAGCTTCTAACAAACAAGCTTCATCTCTTATATACATAAAATTCAACAGAGTTTCTATAATTTTGAAACAACTAAAATTAGTCTCCAAAGTATGGACCAAAGCTAAAATGTAAGCTTGTTTTTACAAGGATAAATTCTGAACAAGGTGAAAATTACAGGAACTTAAAAAAAAAAACTTTAAAACATATAAACTAATTGTTATGTTCATATTCGGTTCAAACAAAACTACTCTTATTTCAACCCAAAAAACTCTAAACACTGTATTTTCATAACCTGGTAAATCAAGATGAAACTAACCAGATAAATTGGTATATACTATAACCCTTTATGTATGAAACGTCATTGGGATGTAGCTGCCTAAGCACATTCAGATTTATAATTGGCAAAGGAAAATCACACTATTCATACAAAAAAGAAAAAAGAAAACAAAAAACAAAAAATTGGGAACATAAATTAAGCCCCCAAAAAGTTTGGTATCCCTGCTGAGTTGAAGGCATCCTTATTGCCTGTTTTGCTGAATCTTGGATAAATTTTGATATATATAGTGCAAAATGCAGAGGCACCAGATTTTTGGTTGCATAGTGAGGTTCTATGCCAGCCACATTATTAATGTTTGGTCCCAAAGTTCCACCATCTTTTCTTCTTTTTTGATTCACTTGAAGGTATGTCTGGGTCAATAGGATTGCTTTTCTTGAAAGCATCTGGATCAATAGGTAAATGATAACAAGTAAATAAATATGTAAATGCCAGCAAATCTAATTGGTAGCCACAGGATTTGTCAAATATATAAAAATACCAACCACATTATTCAAACTATTGGTGAGCTTGTCTAAAAATAATTCAAGTTGAATATGAAAAAAATTATAGAATTACCTCCTTTAGGATTGATGGAGTTGTAATGCACCTCAGCCCAAAAACTAAGAAAAATCACTGCAATAGAATAGAAACATACAATGTAAGTTTATAATATATGATTGATGGACAATTGAAAAATGGTTGAAAAGTGCTCAATACCCAATAAATATCAAAGTCATCAATGGTTTATAGATTCATTGATTTAGGAGTATAACACAATATTGATAAAAAAATTCTATAATTAGGTTTCTAGATAACAGATAGATATTGATGACAGTTTTGTTTATTAGAATTTTGTGAGGGCACCAAAGATAATAAAAGAATGTCAAAATATGGCCAAGGTTCATAAAGATTTCAAGAACAAAGTGATGTGAACAGTTAATCAAGGAAATAAACAAAGTTTAATGAGAAAATAAGACCCAAAAAGGAAAAGGAAATTTTGGAAGAGAAGGAAGAAAACCTTACCTCCTCTTGGATTCTCAAAATTAGGAAGAATCTCTATGCAACAGGTGTCCTTGAATGAAGTCACCACAAATATTCTAACACCATACTGGAGAGAAAAAACAAGGAAAACAATTTCAGACATTTTCAGATATCATTTATTATTGCTATAACTAAAAATGGCATCATCTTGTTTTATCTGAAAGGTAGGAATTGCTAAAGCATCAATATGCTATAAGGCTAAAAATGATGGCATCATCTGAAGGCAAAAAAATCCAGGAATAATTCAATGGGGATAGAGAGCTAACAGACTTAAACCATGCAACCTGTGCCTGGAAATTTTGAAATGGAGGGATAGCCTTGTTAAAAAAAGAAAAATTTCAAAAATTTTGTTTGGTCTGTGTTCTCCTTTCTAGGAAAAGAGACATAAAAGAAGTTATGCCAAACACTTCCTAACTGCCATAATTGAACATATTCCAACATCAATAAGACAATAATTGGTCCATTTTTGTTAAGTAGGCACAACAGTTAGGTTGTCAACAGCCAAACTAATATATACAATATTTTTAGAAAAATTAGTACCCACTGGAACAAAATAGTTGTTAAGCTCGGCGCAAGCAGACAAATATGAAACTTGCAAACCACATGTTGTCAAAATCTCTCACTACTAATTCGTTATTTCTCTATAAGTTTGGCAAAAAAAATGTAACAGCAAATGGAAGAGAATGGAACATATTTAAACAAAGTTCAACATAAGAAGAATAGTAAGTAGAAAAACTTGTACCGAATCTGCGGCTGCTTGCAGAGTGACATGATCCCCCCATTCACCACTCCTAATTTCATTTGATAGAGAAAGTAAAAGGAGCTATTAGTTAGCTCAAAACAAGTTAACCATAAAAATAGATAGATAGATAGAAAGAGATGAGAGAGCAGTTATTACTTGGACATTTTCTCCAAATATTCGCCATATTCCATGGGAACATATCCCTCATAAATCTCTGGATGAGACCTTAGCTGGTTAAAAACAGCATTCAACAATTAGAATCCAAGAATATTGTGCAGAAATATCAAACCAGGTATTAAGATTTAGGCAACCATAATAAAGCATAATCCACTAGAGTAGAGTAAAAACCTGGTTCACAACTTCTTGTCTCACATTGTTGTGGTGATCAGGTGTGTTAAACAACTGATCAGATAATGCACGGAACTGCAGAGGGACACAAATGAAATTGTGATTTGGTACCATATTGCAAATATGGAACTAATGATAAAAAACTGATGAATGCTGCTACGCACATGCTGATAAACAAAAGAATTGGAAGAAATAAATATTAAAACCAACAAACCTGACAATTACCATCACCTTGCACCATATGCTCCACAAAGTCATATAACTGCAATCTGTTTGAAAATATAAGCGGCTTAATTTGGCATGTCTACAAGTCCAATAGAAGAAAAAAGTAGATGAAATAAATTATTCTTTCAATCAGCATAAACCTTAAAAATCACAAATGGGTAAAAAGACCAGAAATCACTCAATGAAACACATCTGTTACTATAATTTCACTATACCGGCAATTATTAAATTGGCGGACAATAAAATATACACCATAACAACCCTTTTAGCTTTTCACGAAGGAGGAATAATGCCTATAACTAATACCTATCCAGAAGCCTTTGATGATCTGAAGTTGCTTCATCAATTGAAGGAATTTCTCCATTAATTTTTGGAACATGCTACAAAAGAGGGTCAAAGAAAACTTTAGGCACCAAAGTCCAAACTACAGATCGTAGAACAGATCAAAAGAGAATCAGAAGAGGCTAAACATACAGGAATTGGAACCATCTGACTCAATTTCCTCCCTATTTCATCGTCAAGTGGATAATTGTCAGTTAGTTCCATTGAGCTTTCCTCTGCTTCACAAGGCCTACAACATAATGAACTAGAAGGTTTTATGTCCCCAATTCCATCGTAGGTATAATCATGACCTGAATATGAAAAAAATTATTGAATTAACCAAATCCATACACAATGATATTTCCAAGCCAAAAATATGCACATTCATGCTTTGACCCTTAAATGATACCTCCAGAACAATACATCATCGATGTGTTACGCCAATCATATGCTGGCTCAGAAGCATGGAACTGTTCTTCATTTGTCTGTGAATATCTTGAACAATCATCAATATCTAGTCGTGAAAATTGTTCTTGAAGAGCTCGTGCAATGATCTCGTCATTCTCTATTTGGTTACGTTGAGTAGCATAGTGGCTATGGAAGTAGTGCCCATTATTATAGACATCACCAGTATTAGGTTGAATTATGTCACAATAGTATCCAGGACTATATGCAGGGTCAGAGTCAAAAAGATTAATACCCCACTGCATAACATCTGAATGCTCATACAGTCCCATCTTTTAGTATGAAACTTGACTACAAATCTGAAAGTCTTCTGCCAGACAACGTTCAAATTATTCCACACCAGGAACAATAAAACTGCCAAAATAAGCTGTACATTAACAGATTGACTTTTGCCAGCAATTATGACAATGATATTCTAAATCAAGAACAAATCATATCATTGAATACAAACAGACTAAGTACCGCTTGTCCAATTATCATTAAAGATCTAATTAGAGTCATTGATGCAAATATGAGAATTAGATCCTAAAAAATAAATGGAGTAATTAGAACAGTTAATAAAACAAAAAGTGCTACCTGTCCGTCTGGTATAATTAATATAAAACTATCAGAATTGCTCACAACAAATTTGAGAAGTAAATTTATACCGTATGCATTATCATGTGCCCTATGGTTGATATGTGATATTAGAAGACTTATGCTTCAGTGTTTTCACAATAGCAACAACAACAATCAATCCTCTTCCACTAAGTAGGATTGATTACACGGACAAATCATTATCGTTAGATTTTATGAAAAAACAAAATTCCACTAAAACCAGTTAAGTACAATATGTTCGTAACTTCCTGCACATTAAAGTTTGACAAGTTGAGTATAATGCAGTCACAAACACAACTAATTGCTTTAGCATGAGCTAGAGATTACCATTCAGTTTCAAATACGGGAGTTATAAAAACTTTAGCTAACCTAAACAATAATACACCTTCTTGGCCCTGATAAAACATAAAAGGATGATTTCTCGCGCAAGGCTCTAGCATCGAAGATTTGGGAACGAATTGAAAATATCAAATGTATTCAACCTTGGTCCCATTGAGTAGAGAGGCTGTATACACAACTACATCCTATGATCACCGGGACAAGAGGCAATAGATTTTACATGCAGTGCAGTGACTCAAAACCCTCTAGAACCACCTCTTGGTGAAGTCAAAGTTGACACCTAAGCAGAGATTAATCTCATAGCTCAAGGATGTAAGGAATCTTCATGGTCTTCCAAAACTCATATAGCAGCAATCCTATAATTGCTCGAGACTCCCTCTAAGAAGTAAGAGAGTAAAACCAAAAGCAGGAATAAGCAAGCATCTACTTTTGTCTGTGTTTGGAACTGTGCCTCAAAAGAACCTCAAAAGTGAAGCTTCTGTGCCCAACCCATTTTGTTCTTGAGATCAAACAATTGTTAGCCTCTATGATCTTCTAAGACTTGCTTCAACATTTAAAAAACAAATCACAACCACACTGATCCTGCTATTAACTAGATCCTGATCAACTCACTCTAGTCCCAATAAATGCAATATAAAAAAGGATAACCCGCACAAAACTTCTGATTACATGTTTCTGACTACTCTATCCCCTCAACAACAACTTTAGCATGAGTCAAATTATAATTGAAATCCTTAGCATCCAACAAAATATAAACCTTTTCAATTCCCAACAACAAAAGAATAATCCAATCACAACCCTCGAGGTAGCTTACACCAATCCAAAAGAAATCCAGAAACACTGGAAAGGAAAAGTTTCCAATTTGGAACAGAATCAACTACTCCGACGCAAGAAAGAAAGAAAGAAAGAAATTAAACAGCGCAACCAATTAACGAAACAAAACATCAAAGTAAGAATCACCCCACCTCGGATTCAGCACCAACTCAATTCAGGCAATCCTCAAACTTGAAAACAAAAGCGCAGAGACAACCAACAACAACAACAAGGGTGGTACGAACTATGCAATAGGCAATAGATGAGAATGAAACGTCGATTATTTATTGTGAGAACGAAATTGGACGAAAAAAAGTGCAATTCACGTGTTTATATACAGTTAGCCACGGCTTTAAAGGTGGAACACCTTCTGCCACTGCTGCTTCATTGTGTTCGTATTTTGAAGCACTGGGCGGCATTTTTTAAGGTATTTCTTTGACCTCAAAATTTTGTCGAAATCTAAATCACAAATTTGCTACTCAGTTGGCATTTTTCATGATTTAACCATCAATATTAAATTTTGGTAATGTGGGAATGGTTGGATTAATTTGTATCAGTGGCCGTTGATTAAGGTTTGGGAATCTGGGGTAGAGGGTAGAGAGAGCTGATGGTTCAGATTGGTTGCTCAATGAAGAAGGTATCAAGCCAACGTCTCTGATTGAATCGGTATTTTCTCTTCGAAACAATTTAATTCGTATGCACTTAACTTCACTTTGAAAAAATATTAAATAGAGTAGAGAGTAACTTTGAATTTGAGAAAAAAAAATAGAATTAAGAAAAAAAATAGTAATATAAAATTTTTAAATAAAAATTAATGAATCATTTCATAAATTTGATAAATTAAAAAATATTTTAATTGATAAAAATAAAAAATTATTATTATTATAATTATATTATTATTTGATTACATTATTATTATTTATATGAAAAGTTAACTTTATTTAAAAATAAATTTATTACAATTTTCTTGTAGATCTCTTCCACGTTCAAAAGAAAGTTAAAGCAGAAAAAGAAAAGTAACAATTTTCATGAATGTTTCGTCTTTATTTGCTTATTTTTCTTTTAAACAGTAAATCAGTTTATTTCACTCTGCTGAAACTCGGACCCTTAGTATCTTTGTACCCTAAAAAAAAGAAAAAAAAAAACTTAATCTAACAATTTAGTTCTCCTTCCCACGCTAAATTAAGTTATTGTTGATGGATGACTTTTAAGATATCTAACAGTTTATAATATTAAATTCTTCTTCTTCACGTCACAGGTATTCAATTAGAAAAATAAACTCATAAAAATATCACATAGTATTAGAAGCTTTTATAAAAATGTAATAATTATTTTGAAAAAATCTTATGATCACAAAATTTTAATTTAGAATTTTAAAAAATTATAAAATATGAAATCATAAAATTTTAAAAAGATTTATGGATTTATAAGGATATAAATTAGTCCATGCTTTTACAAATACCATAAATATTATATATCTTTATTTTTCTATTGAAATGTACTTTACATGTATTCTATCCGGTGAGCCATAAATTGAGAGGTCAAACATCTAACACCGAAGCCACGAATTGGTCAGACCACAAACAAAATAAGTCATTAAGAGTAACTAATATATGCATTGTTAGAAACTCATTACGGAAAGTCTATAAATACAAGTTTGACATACAGTTACTAAGATACTTTTTTTACTACAAATTTAGTGTTAAACTATTCAAACAAACATTGATTTAAGCGTCAAAATATCTTTTACAAATGATACCTGAGTGGACCAAATAGTCTAAGAAGATTTAAGTACCAAATTATGACCTAAGCTTAAAAATGGAGGATAATTCGTACGAGTAAACTCAATATTGACCCATAAACCAAAACACCACATAATATTTTACAATATTAAATGAATCGAAGGACATTTTAAAACAATTTTATTACCTTTTTTCTTATTTTTTTAATTTTATTTTTAGTAAGAGATTAATTATTATAAAATAATAATATTATCAAATATTAAATTAACATTCAAATAGAAGAATAAAGAATTCAATTAAAAGAATTAGTATAAAAAATAATATAAATAATAAATAAATCATAAACTCCTAATTCATTGTCACTCTTAATTCAGAAAGACAGAGACGTAAAAAGTGTGTCAATCATTTATGGTAAATGAATTCTAATTTATTACAATCTACTTACTTTATTTCTCCTTTTTTGGTAAAGAGAAACAAAAAAATGAAGTTGTCAATGTTTACAATTTAAGGTTAAGGTGGTATTAACGTGAACTCATATAATATAATATGCATCTTATAACATTAAAATCACAAGTCTTCCCTTTAATAAAGTTTTATATATATATATATATATATATATATATATATATATATAATAGGAATGAAAAAAACATCTCAAGATGCGGTCGATAGTGATATTTTAATACACACTTATAAATAAATTGATGTAAGTATTATACTTATTCGTATCCACACATATTTTTTATCTGTAAAAAATAAAAATAAAAATAAAAAATTAATTTATATTTTATTAAATTAAATTTAATAAAAATTAAAATTAATTTATATTTTATCAAGTTAAAATTTTAATTTATATTTAAATTAATTTATATTATATTTTATATATTTTTTTATAATTTTATTTTAAAAATTTATAAAAATATATTTTTTCTAAATATTTTCGAATATCCATGGATATCTACAAATTCTAAAATATTTTGTTAACGGATACTCGTGTGAGTAGCAGACAGACACATAAATTTTTTTTTACAGATAAGAGTAATGAGTAGACATTATCTATATCGAGCCATTATTATCCATATATATATATATATATATATATATATATATATATATTAAATTTATATTATTTGCACATAAATATTTAATTAGAATTTTATAACATCTTATATTATTAAATTTTAATTTTTTTCTATTAATTTGTTTCCTTCTTTTACATTATATTCCGTAAAATTTCTAGCTACATATTTTAATCTAGACGATGTTCCTGAAATTCAATCATTGTCATCTGACTAAAAAAATGTTTTAAAGTCCAATAAGTCATAACAAAATGTGTAAAAGCTAAACTAAAATAGTAATAATCAATAAATTAATTGTAAAAACAATATAATAAAATAATTATACTTATAAATGTTTGAAATAAGAAAATTAGGCACGGAGTAAAAGGATAAGATGGATGCTTCTATAACAATTTCGTTACTAGTCCAAACAATAACAATTTATTAATTTTTAAACTTCTCACAAATAAAATAACACATAATGAAGTGTAATTAAATGAACATAATTTCTTTTATAATATAATATTTGTAAATTCCAATATATTAATTATGTATTAATGAATTGTAATTAAATGAACATAATTTCTTTTATAATATAGCAGTAGTAAATTTCAATATATTAATTATGCATTAATTACATAAATTGTAATTTCCCAAAGCTTCCAATTGATAAAATTAAGAAATTACAAAATTGATAAAACAAAACAAATTATATATATATTACAATTATTTAAAAGTAAATAATTATAAAGATAAAAAATATATAAAACAATTAAGAGTGACTTAGAGTTTATAAAGTTTCTATACAGAATAATTACTATAAACTGAATAAAACTATTCTACGTTGTTAAGGAGAGCATAATTAACCTAATTGTATTAAACTATAAATCATCTATATTATATTATATTATAAAAACAAAACTATAATTGAATTATACTATTTTACGGTTCAATTTAAAAAATCTAAACTTTTCTATTAGAAGTTCAGTTAAGTGCTTCAAATGGTAAAAGCATACAAAGATGACTAAAGGAAACTCGAGCTCTATATGACATAACAAACACACAAGAAAAACACACTTTTGTCATAATTGAAATAAATGAGCTATTTATCTTCTTATTAAATAACACTTATTGGAAAGCGATTTTGAATAAACAAATATCCTAAATTGAATTTTTAAAATAACAGTCTTAAGAGTTAGTTTAACAAAAAAATACTTCAAAAATTTAAATTAATTTTTAAAACTTATTCCAAAATAGTTTTAAGAAAAAAAGAAGAAGAAGAAAACACATTTAATACGATTTACAAATTGTTATGATTTTTTTTTTTCATAAAACATGTAACTTAGTCATTTATATTAATTTATATTTGTATATCTACTTTTCATAATTATACATCATACTAATTTATTATTATTTTTCATTTAAGTATTTATTTTTACTAAAACTTATTATATTATTGAAATATATACATGGATAGATTTGACTAAGGTAATCTCATCAATTTTTTTAATGTAACCTATGCAATTAAATTTTATTTAAGTTTTGAGTGTTATAAAACAAGCAAGAACACGTAATTTCCTTGTATGTTTGTGATGTCAGGTGGAATCACAGTTTGCTTCGGTCACGTTGGATGTTTTTACAATTTGAAAGAGTTAATGAAAAATTCAGTCTTTTTTAAATTGAACGGCAAAACAGTATAATTTAGTTTTTAATAAAAATATTTTATTTTTTATAGTATAATATAGTATAGATAATCTATAGTTTAGTACACTTAGGTTAATTATGCCCAATCCTACACATCATCATCATCTTTCATTAGAGACACATCAACACATACTCATTCTACTCACACCCATAAGGTGATTACCGCAAATGAAAGAAAAATACAAACAAAACAACATAGAAAAAATGATAAGCTAATGTAAAAAAAGAGTTTTCATAAGATATTTAAATTACTTCAATTATAAACTAAACATGTATACAAATATAATAAATTATATAACATTCACACAAACAATTGACATTCAATTATTCGGATATATGTCTTTGGCATAGGACTTCAACATAAACAAAGGGTTTATCATAATACTACTTACAAGGTAAGTCCCCTTCACGCTAGGACCAACAATTTAGTCACTAGGCATCCTGCGACTCTCACCACATAACTTATTTTATTCTATTTGAATGTGAATATTTATTAGAGTTCAAGATACCTCATTTCTAACCCCCTATATGTCAATGCATACACTAAGATCATTACCACAAAAAAATTCTCTTTGAAATCTCAACACCATCACCATACATGTCTACAACCATAATCATCACCTCAATTAATAATAAACATTATACACATAAATCAGTTCCATCATTTAGACATATGCAAAACCACACATTGAACATACTAAAAGAAAACACATGAAAATAGAATTAGACTTCCTTAATCTCGCTCAACTAGAAGATCTATTTGTTCAACAAGTAGTACCTAAATGCACATTTTCCCAACGATCATATAGCTCGCCCATCGATATTATCACTGAAACTCACAAGCTTAAATTCTCAAAAAAAGTTGTTCATCAAGACTTGTCTCGTCCAACCACTTTCAAGTCACTAGTCTTCTAAGACTTTCATCTATGCAATGAGACTTTCGTCTATATAATGAGACTTGTAACTTGAATGACAAGCTAACACTTAAGCATTATGTTCCCATAATATATATATA